CAATCTCTTATTACTTGATGGATATAATCTTTAATAAATACGTCTCAATCAGAATCAGTAGGGTAAAGCAGAAATAATCTTGAATGATACCAATGCAGTCACCACTGTTTAATTACATAATTACTTGTAATATAATCAAAAGTTTCTGCACTTGACCTTTAGCAGACTAATCTGTCACAAGATTTTGTCTGCTTCTGCTTTAATAACAGTATATACAGTTCTTTTTCACTGTCACCCGCGTGCGTCAGTCATGTGTTCATTATCTCAATTATCACCTTCCGAAGAGGAGATCGATTTCACCATGCCCATGATTCCAAGCTTCGTAAGCGATGTAAACCGTAAAATCTGTCAATATTACACTTGAGTTCAACAATGGCACCTATTTTCTTCCCACCTAACCCTTAAACAGAACAAATTACCGTGCGTAAACCTATATCGTCCCCCTTTGCTAGCTATTTTCTTATTTGGGTATATATTATTAGTGTTATTTGCACTTGCAAATATTGCTTTCTCTATGCAATGCAGAAGTACTCTCTTCTATGTAAACAGTACTCTCTTTAGTGGAAAGTTTGTTGTTCATCAACCGTGGAAAAATATTAATTTCCAACTCTTTTCGGTTTTTTTTTTTTAAGTTTTTAGGTTTTATTTTATCTGGTTGCAAAGTGAAAATGAAAACAAAATGAAGGGGCCCAAAATTAGGAAAACATTGTTCATCAAAGTTGATGGACAGAAACTTGCCCGTCTGTGGGTTCCTTCACTGTGTTAAAAAAAAGAAAAGAACAAAGAAGAAAGAAGAAGACGAAGGAGCCTCAAGCTGGGCAAGCTTTTTAGTATTTAGATTTTAGTTTATTTGGTAATGATAACGGTAAGATGTTTAATTATCGGATACAAACGCAAGTGTCCTGACATTAAATTAACCTTTTCGTAAGCTAGCAGATAGCATGCCTTCCTTATCGTACTTCGCAAAAACAAGAAGAAAACTGTGTTCCGTTAAGATTTTGCATCCACAGCCACATGATCAACCTCTCCGTACATACACAGCTGATGACTTTTATTACAATCGTCCGATCAGATCAGTTTTACCCCTCGATGCTCTTGTCTCCTTGCAGACGACTTGAGATGAACAAGGTAGGTACATACGCACTAAGGAATATAAAATATTCTCTCTCCAGCAGCCTTTTGTAGTATAGCATGTAACTTGACGAAAACTTTACAGCAATCATGAAAGCCATGATCAATATCTTTCCGGGTCTAATATTGTTCCTTTATTTTAATCAGTCACGAACGACCCTTCATTGCGACAGGAACAAATTAATATAAATAAATGCAAGTTGAAATCCGTCTCCCCCACTTGGAATGTTAGCCTAAACAGCTCCCTAGAGAAGCAACGACTTGCTCTCTCTCTCTCTCTCTCTCTCTCTCTCTCTCGCAGACACACTCACTTGCAGAAAGAGACAAGCTCGTTGATGGCTACCATGAAGAAAGAGGGGGTTAAGCCCGTGGAAAACATGACAAACATGCCCAACAAGGGGGCATGGACAGCTGAGGAAGATAGGAAATTGGCTGAGGTTATTGCAATCCATGGCGCAAGGAAATGGAAGACAATTGCAGCCAAAGCAGGTAAGTGCACACACATACTTTGTTGTTCATATGTAATCTTTACCAAGGAAAGAAACAACGTACTTGAGTTGAATTATGCACTATGTATTGCGATCTGATTTAAGCTTGACGTGTCCTTGTGTTCTTGCAGCTCTCAATAGGTGTGGTAAGAGTTGCAGGCTAAGATGGTTGAATTATTTAAGACCAAACATCAAGAGAGGCAACATTTCTGACCAAGAAGAGGACCTCATACTTAGGCTTCATAAACTACTAGGAAACAGGTAATTAATGTTATCTAGCATTGAGAAACACCAACTCCTAATAGTTATACTCTCCCAATTTCCTTAATTACTCTTGCTGTTTGTATCTTGCACAGTAGCACCCTTTCCTGTAGAGGTAATGTCTAATATATTCAGCGTTCTTGAGCATATTTTAGATGCTCCTTGGTTAGTTTTAGTTCAAGAAAAACACCTGCTAGGCTTGAGTTTTTTTTGTCCAGGTGGTCACTGATCGCTGGAAGACTGCCGGGTCGAACAGATAATGAGATTAAGAACTATTGGAATTCTCATTTGAGCAAGAAGATAAACCAGAAAGGGAAACAAACTGGAGTTTCAACTAAAGAAGACCACAGAGTTGAGAAAAATATAATAAAAAACAATTTGGATTTGAAAGAAGAGAATAAATCCAGCCAAAGGGGTGAAGAAGAGTCCAAACTGAATTTTAACGTGGATGATTTCTTTGATTTCTCCAATGAAGATCCCTTGAACCTGGAATGGATGAGCCGATTCCTTGAAATAGATAAGGCTTAGATGCTGGTATGTCATAACAGTCTGTAAATCTTGTCCTCTCTCTTGAATTATTAGTGTAACTACTAATTAGCCATGGGCTATATATTTGACATTCCTGCTGCATGATGATGGTTCATGAATCTGCTAGAGTTTATGTGGTCTCTGTATTCTGGCCTCTTCTTCCGTATTGGCTGGCAATCATATTCTGCACTGATTTTCTTTGATTTTTACCCATCCACATACCTTTAGATGTCACCGGTGCGCATATATATATATATATATAGCATACTAGAAAAACGCACTAAAAATTAATAAGCATTAGTTTTAATCTCGAGTTGTGACAAATCTTTTATAGCAAGCATAAAACTCTATCTCCATTGACAGGGATTAAGCTTGAATGGAATCAAGAATATTTCAGAGTCCTTCAACGTCTTGTTTTTTTCTGTAATGACAATATCTGCAAATCCTTATTTTAATTAAAATATATTTTATTATTATTAAGGTGTACTTGCTGATTATTTTTATTATTATGGAGTTATATTTTTTTATTTAATACTACTTAAATTTGATGATTTTTCAATTATGTAAAATAAATTTTTAATACTGATAAATATTAAATAAATATGGACATTAATTAATCAGAAATGATTTAATATTATCTTTATCATAATTACGGAAAATAAAAAAAGAACAATTCCTTAATAATGTGAAAAATAAAAAAAATCTAAAAACATCTCAAATTAATACATATTTTTTTTATTAAAGGGGATGTTTAGCCTGTTTGTTTGTGTATACTTTAATTAATTTTATATGTTTTAAAATTAATAATTATATAAATTTTTAATAATTTTAAAATTTATAAAATTAAAACCTATAAATTTTAAAAAAATAAATCTAAAAACAGAATAGTTATTCTATACCCTTGTAATTAGATTAATATAGATTCTTTGTCATTGGACCGTGGAGGGGTGGTGGTCTTACTGACAAGAAATAATTATGCTAAAGTGAGAAAGGACCTGTCTGCAGAATTATGAACGGAACACAATCATGCTACTCCGACCGACAAAAGGTGCCTGTGAGTCACACAACTCACAATAATAGTCCTTTTTGCCCTTGGGCCACTCTATTTGTTTTTTTATTATTATTTTCTAGGGTGGCAAACACTTTTTTTTTCCTTTTTGATAATCAAGCTCACAGCAAGGGCAGCAAAGCTGAGATCCACGAAGCTTTGCAGGGTGTATGCGTAATTAAGCTAGCGACTAGCAGTAAACAAACAGAATCAGATTTCAGACCCTTGTCTCATTCGAGCATGATTAGACCGTTTCATGGGGCAAATCCACGACTGTGAACTGCTTTTGCACCAAGCATTTCTGCGAATATTGACTAGGAAACTCAAAAACCTGTTCATCATATGGAGGATGGCTATCTACAACGGCGATCCATCAGTGTACAACGTGGCAGCATCGCTTCCCTTTAGAGAAAAAGGTCACCACATTTTTCATCCTGCTAAAATATGAGCACGTGAAAGAAAAATCACTTTTTAAGCCAATCCTGTCAAATCATCTCATCAGTCTCAGTTTCAAACTAGGCAGTGAGTCCAGCATATGCCATACCAGGACATACAGGCAAGGTCTACTTATGGAGAAGTTGAAAGGGAAGAATCACAGGAAAACATTACAGCCGCCTGCTTGATCAAGCTTTCAACTGACATCAACCAGTTTCTGAGGATTCCCTTCAGGCACTTTTTCTCGATAAAACTTGTCTCTATAACCTTTCCAGATACCGTCCAAGTGATGGATGATGAGCCACAGGGCGTCAACTCGATAAACATGAACTGGTTATGAGCTCGGGGAGTTTGGCTCGTGAACCAGAGTGGTCCTGCCTGACAGGTTACAAATAATTGTCGTTGGAATTGTTTTTTCAAATATTTTTATTTAGAAATATATTAAAATAATATTTTTTTATTTTTTAAAAAATTATTTTTATATCATTACATTAAAATAATATAAAAAAACTAAAAAATTATTAATATAAAACAAATATTTTTTTTTAAAATTTTAAAATACAAAAACAAACAGAATTTATCATTAAAATATTTTTCACTTAAAAATACATCAAATTGATATATTTTTATTTTAAAAAAATTAATTTTAAAATCAGCATATTAAAATAATTTAAAAAATATAATAAAACAATTATTTTTAATAAAAAAACATTTTTTTTAAAAAAAACACGGCTTAGCCGGCGTTTTCTTAAAACAATTATTTTTAATAAAAAAACATTCTTTTTAAAAAAAAACACGGCTTAGCGGCGTTTTCATAATTAAAGCAAGCTATGTCGGTGAAAATATTGTAGCAAGTATAGAGAGAGATCTGCATCTTCTTTTAATTCTCTCACCAAACACCCTTAACAAATATAAGACACGGTATACTGCCAGACATCATTACGATTAAACCAAGAGGTTTTAACCAATATATAGTTGCACGGGCATCTCCAGCAACCCCGCAATCTTTAATGAATCCAGGCTTCAAGTTACAGTCCATGGGAGTGAGAACATGCAGAAGAACCCAAAAACTCTGGTAATAATTGACGTTTACAAACATTGAGTTGGAATTTATTCAGGTCACAATTTCTTGATCTCGTGTGAAAATATATAGAATCTCGAATGCAGCTTGTAACAATTTCTGAATGGTTTCGTCATTTTACAGATTGGTTCAACGAGAACAAAATTCTGATGGACATCTTTCGTGCTGTAAAGATTCCGAAAGGCATCAAAGGCATAGTGTGTGCTACAGGTACATGTCATTATCACATCACTCTCGCATCGAAAAGTTGAAGACCAAATCATAAAAAACAAATCTCCAGTCTTCGATAGTAGCATCTTAAACCAGTACAGGTCTTGTATGTTCAGACTCGCCACTGAAGCAGTGGTATAAATGAATGAAGTGGGAAATTAACCATAAACAAAAAGAAAAAAGAAATCTTACAAATGCATGTGAATTCTATGATTGAAATCTCCATCTCTTCAATCACACTTCTACTATATCAAATGCATGCAAGTACACGGAGCAAACGATATTGCAGGGTTTGCATCAATGAAGTTTCCTTATTACTCGTTGGGTCCAAGAAAACACAACAAATATTCATAATATGTAACAAAAGATCTCAAGCATGAACAGCATAAATCAGCACGGGCATTGCCCAAAGTTAGCCCCACGCCACTGAACAAGCATAGTTGACCAGCAGTTTACCATCAACGCCAAAATTCTGAATTGATGAAGTGGAAATTAGGTTGAACTTACAATAGGTAGAGTCAAGGACAGGTAGAGCAAATATGCATCTGATAAAAAATGACAGACTTACAAACCTAAATTAACTAAGGTTAGGAGCAACTCTGTGAGAGAAAACCGACACAATCCAAACAAACCTTCAAAGAGGGTCCTAGTCATGTTATGCTCATGAAGTAAAAAAGAAAAGCCTTGCAAAATTCATGAGAACTTCATGGAAGCTTTTCTCCTCGACTAAACCGTCCTTTTCCATTGCCACATATCAATCTTGAAAATGACATTGTCATGTGTATAATCAATCTTGAAAATGACATTGTCATGTGTGTGTGTATATATATGTTAATGAAATACACAATGATACATCACACCTTATGTTCCAAGAGTTGACTACAGACTACCAAATTTCGCTAAAGGGCAAGGACAGATACCACATGACAGAATCTACATTTACGTCATTTGCATGTAACATTTGTGCTCAATGACAGCTCAGAACATGGAAAGTTGGGCACAATATTTGGAGAAGTAACAACTTATTTCAGATGATTCATTTGCCTGTAGCCCATTTGTTTTCAACCTGAGTGTCGTATTAACCAAATGCTTCATTCTTAAAACCGGCAGTGTTGATAAATAAATGTTCGATGTTCCAAAATTAAGCACAATGAACAAACAAATAATAAATTAGATGAGATGTCTTGGTTAAAATCATCAATATAACACATAACTGTGTTGCAATTACTTGGTCTTTCATAATTTTGTCAAAAAAAAAAAAACCGAATCAATGCTCATCTAATGCATATGGGGTGCAATCATCTAGTACATGTTGTAACTTGAAATTTAACATGAATGGATATGAACCAATAAAAAACCAAATTGTATTTTTCAAATTAGAATTATCTATAACAGCCACAACCAAAGAGATGACATTAAATAGATAAAACAAAAATTAACTGCTACAAAAACTCACATTAAACAGATCAATCACCAATTCATCTGGATTTGGTGAGAATGCACTGTTGATGTATACAAACTAAAGAACAAGGGAGAAACAGGCAACATTACTATTCCAGAAACCCACTTATTAATTCTTTTGCTAAATTGGAGAGAAATCAATATCAGTGATAAGTTACCATGCTCTCCCTGTGAAGTTGCCGGGACAAAAAATCAATCACCTTAGCAAACTTATCAGTTCCAAGTATCTGCCACATCCAAGTACTCAAAGTATATAAATATCATCATCATCATCACAATTAATAATGAAATGCAAGAAAGTTTTAATGAATACAAAAATCAATCTCTGGAAGCATTAAACCACATGTTGTATGCGAAACCTGAAACACATCAACTTGCAGTTATTCTGTTTTTGAGAAGTATTATGCAATTTCATGAAATGTTTTTTGGTTGAAGCACCAAAAAAGCCCTGCCCCATTGATTAAGCTCTTTCTGGGAGTCCAAAGCTATAGCAGTCAAATTATTCTCTAGAAAAGCAACAGAATGATATGAATCAAGGGTTTGTTTCAGCATGCAGTTTGTCATGCAACTTGTTTCCAAGCTTTAGATTTGTTGCCCAATGCTCAATAGTTACAAGGCACACATGCACTAAGGGGCGGAATAGGAAATTTTTTAGGGGGACTTAAATTTTACTAGTTTTGGCCCTAAAAATTTAAATTGTTCGAGGGGGAGCCAATAAGTTTTTTTTTTTTTTTTGCTCCCCTCAAGGGGGAGCCAAGAAGGTTTTTTTTTTTCTTTTTTTGCTCCCCCGACTCTGCCCCTGCATGCACTCTATTTAAAAGTTTGAAAAGGAAGATACCTATGAGGCTATGACCAATTCTATTAAGCACGAATGTGCCCCTAATGTCAAGGCTAGTCTCGCAAACATAGATCAAGCTCAATAGTGACACACACAGCCCACAAATCATATAGCAATCATTAAACTTGCTATACAGATATATCCTTAATTGGATAGAATTCAATGGCAGCATACATGATCACATTCGCATGCAAAAAATGCCCATGCATTGAACCAAAACATAGCTTCCTGACAAAAAATAAAAAATCCTAGACAAAACCCTATCCTTCCATAGTGCACTTTTACTTCAGTTCTACTAGATACAATTATTAATCTAAAAAATTTCTCCAATGAAATCCCAGCTTATATCAAGATAACAAAGCAGCAAGATCATCCCTTGATTCATTCTAGCTCTATGAGTTTATAGTTTTTTATACCAGCCAACATTTCATAAGAAAATGAATAAGTTGGCATCTAGATTTTATCCTTATTTGCCAAACCCACAAGAATAGACACAGAAATACAAAACCACCTAGAATTTATTACATAAAAAATACATATATAAAACTATGTAAATATGAGTGAAAGAAAACTACACCTTGAACTTGTTTTGCTTGAGAATAGGCGCATCAGCAGTGGCTTTTAACAGAACAATCACTGCATCAAATCACAAGACCAAATTTTAATTAATTAGTTAGTTAAAAAAAAAAAAGCATAACTAAAGAGTATTTATATATGGGTTTTAACTTGAGCAGGTTTGGGCTCACCTTTTCGAGCAGAACTCAGTGAGTCAGTTGCCATTGTTGCTTTCAGCTTAGAATTTGAGAGCTAGATGAGCCTTAGAAGTTGAAACTTGGAAGTCATGGATTTTGACACGTCCACAAAAGATTTAAGATCAATATCCCAAACATCCAAATTTTTAAAATTCAAGCACAAAGTACACAACTAACAGAATAATCTCCTGAAATGATTCCTTGGGACTCCACTGTATGATAAATACTCCCCTGAATGCTAAATGCAATAATCACGCTGACCCTTCTTTCCAAAGTCCATAATGATATCAAGTTTTCTAGTTCACTACTTTTCCTATTGAAAATCGGAATTCCATATAACTTCCAGCCAATTATTTATCGGCTATGCAAGAAGAAGAATAAGAAGAATAAGAAGAAAAACTAAAGAATTTTCCTTGGTACCTTGGCTTGGCAAAGCAATTAGTATCATAAGCATTTCGTCAATTTAAAACTTTATCACCTTGAACTGAATAGCCTTTTGATTTCCCGAACTCATTATTTCACATTCCATAGCAACAACAATAACATTATTTCACATCATATCATAACCATTTCGTCAATCAAAAGCAAATATATTCAAAATTCACGCAGATTATAAGATAACAATACGCGATTACAAAAGAATCCCACAACATTACCAACTAAAAGCATTTACAAAAAAGGTCTGCAAAGAGAAAGCTTCTTAATTTAGGGTTATAAGGCCACAGCTTCCTTCCTCTTCCCCGCAGCAAAACATCACAATTCGTAAAGAATATTTCAGAGTTTTACCAGCCAATTATATATTAGATCCTAGAGTTTCACAAAACAATAACCTAAAAAGCTTCGAACTCATAATTTCACTCTACAAACCTAGGGTTTCACAAATGCAAATAAAAAAAAAATAGATAAAAGAGGGGTACCTTAGCAGTGTAAGTGATGTTCTCGAGCTGGCAATTCCAGTTATATTTTACAATTGTGATTTCGATGAAGAGGGAGGAAGAAGAAAGAGGAGAAGAAATTAGGATGCGCCCGGCGTCCGCAAGTTACAGAACAAAATCCAAGAAGAAAGGAGAGATAAATTAGCTACTTTGATTCAGGTTGCCAATATCAACCCGACCCAATTCTGCTCGAAAAACTAGCATTTTCAATTTAAAACCCGACATGATCATGTCCGAACTTAAAATACATCAAAATTTTCGGTTTCGATTAACTATAAAGCAATAATATTAAAAAATTATTAAAATTCAAATTAATTTAAAATTAAAAAAAAAAGTTAAAATTATAGGAGAAGCTACTCCAGTACAAAATATATTTTATTATTTATTAAAATAGTAAAATGGTAGAATTACTCCCTACTCAAAAAAACACCTTAGAACTAGGTATTGAGTTTTTCATAGTAAAATTATTAATTTAATTGTAGAATGAAAAAATAAAATGCTTATTATTCATGGATGTTATAGTCTTTTTAATGTTTTTTTTCAAAATAGTATTGTTACATTGATGTATTTAAAGGTAAAATCAATATAATTCTTATTGACATAATTCTTTTCCAATAATTTTTTGATCATTCTATACCATTGCCACCACCAACATTGTTAACTCCTCCTATCACTAAAACACAGCCAAACCTGTATGGAAAAGAGAGAAACCAATAGAAAGGGAAGAAGCAAAAACTTCAAGTGACCCTATTATCCTTTACAAATGGCAGTGAGGCTTATCATTGGAGTAAAAAGGAAGACGATGAGGAGGCACGCATGATCTAGACAGTCACAACCTCCTCATAGGCCAACGCATGTCGATCATGCATCGACTATCCATTTATTTTTCCAGTAGCTTCGGGGTCATCCCAATAGCTTCAGAATTTCAATTTTAAAAAACCTTCTGAAGTTTTGATCAACTACAACATGTTATTGAATACTGTATTTATTATTTTTTTAATTATTTTTGATTAATTGTTAATTTGTTGTGGATGGTTATTATAAAATATTTAAAGTGTTACGGTTTATATTATCATGTAGAAACTTTTATGGTATGATATTATTAAAAATTTATTTTTTAAGGTAAAATATGGTCGGAATTAGTACCCTACAATGAAGTTAGGAGAACTGGTTGCAATATATTTATTTGAGATGTAATGACTTGGTCTCGATATAAAATGTGATATGAAATGTGATGTATGTTAATGTTGTTTTTCAATTTATTTGAGATGTAATGACTTGGTCTCGATATGAAATGTGATGTATGTTGATGTTGTTTTTCAATTGTAAAAATTTGTATATTAATGTTGTTTTTAAATTATTAAGTTGTATGTAGATTTTTTTTTTGTTATGTTAGGGGTTGATGCTGTTTATAATTTTTTATATTGTGTGTTGATGGCCTTAATACACAATTTCATTGTAAATAGTTATTTTTTAAAACAAAGAATAAAAATTGAGTTGATGAATTTTCGTCGAGTGTTTTGTCAAATTGGTGATGTTTTGATTAAACTTGGTTTTAATTGATATGTCGACATGCTACAAGTTTTAGGGACTAATTTAGAACCAGCACAACGTTTTTAACTATAAAATTACTTTGATGATAAATCAACGAGTTTTTGTTAAGTTGACAACATTTTAATTTAAGATCCTTTTTTAATCAATAGATTGACAAGTCTTATAATTTTAGGGATCAATATAGGCCTAACACAATATTTTTAACTTTAAATTTAGTTTTAACATACATCGATAAAGTTTTTATCAATTGGACATGACTTCAATTTTAATATTTAGGTCGACAAGTCTTCTAGCTCTAGAGATTGACGTAGGCCTAATGCAATGCTTTCAAATTAAAATAAGAAAAAACCATCCAATTACAAGATTCTTGATTTAAGGTCCAACATTAACGATATGAAAATCAATCAATAATAATTACCATGTAAATAAGCTCAAAAAATATTTTAAATAATTGATGGTACGTGTAAAAATAAATGTAGAAGAAAACACATAACTAAGATTTTTTTGTTTGGTTGATTTTTATTTTCCCTTAGACACAACCAATCATTACTTGGATCTTTGGAAAAAGTTTATATTTTAGGACTAATAGTCTTTTTAGCAAACTAGTTAATGACTCCAATTTTTTATAATTTTCTTTTCATTTCAGAGGTCTCAGATTTATGTTGAGTAGCAATAAAAAGGTTTCAATATTGACTTTTCACCTATTGGTTATGAAAAGATTTTTATTTGGGTGGTTATGTCTTTTTTGAATTTTTTTAGTACAGTAGAATTATTTAGTTACCATCAAAGTCAACAAAAATTAAAATTGTTGGTCAAGGGCTTTCTTCATTTTTTGTAAGTTTCTTAACAATAAAAATACTTATTTGCCCCTTAAGTCAAAAAATTATTAAGGGATTGGATAAAAGTTTTTTAGGGTTTTTAAATTTTCATATACAATGAAACTAGCCTTGTAAAAGAGAGGGGAAAATAAGTTTGCATTTGGAAGTATTTTTTTTCCTTTTAAACTTCTTTTTTTTTTTAATTTTTTTAAAGCGAAAAACTACTGACATATGGTCAACATACGCTAATGCATGGGTGGCGTCTATGTCATTCAGGAGCCTTGTGTGACGCCACCTAATGGCTAAAATTGATCTTCCATTGCAAGGTTATCAAAAATATATTTTTAACACAATATAAAAAATACAAAATAAACTCGGATTGTAAAAACAGATTGTAAATTAATGAAGATATTATTTAAAAAAAAAACTTGTAATGAAATACGAGTTAAATAGCTAGTGATAGAACGAACATGATAAGCCCGTTTGTCCATGCGGCTGCAATTGTGTTTTAATTAAACCGTAAATTTAAGATGTTTGGTAAAAATAAAAACGAGATTTACTATTAATGGATCTCACAATATTTTTGTGTCCAAAACATAAGAAAAGAAAAGCAAGTAATTCCTGCTTTTTGCACAATTTTCATACTAATTGCTCTATTTATTGAACAATGCAATTAACATGAATAGTATAGTATGCTATATTGTTTTGATCGGACCAATTCAAGCCGGATCAGGTCCGGTCCAAAGCTCAACATACATTGAACTAGGTCCGACCCAATAAAATAAAAAATAAAAAATAAAAAATAATTTTAATTTTAATTTTTTAATTGTGTTTTATTTGAAAAACTAGTGTTCAACATTATTTAATAATACTACATAAATTAGACAGAGATCACTTGATGAAGTAGCATTTGCAAAATTTAATTACAAATCCAATTTTATTTGTAATTATATTTTTTATCTGATGTTGTTGCGCGCTTAAAAAATCAAAAGAAATTATGGACCTTGTCAGATGTATTTCATACGTGATGGAATAGTATATAATTTAATAGAACAACGAAAAATATTTTATATAAAGTATTATTTATTTCATGATATAATAACAATAGTTAAATATACAATATTTAAATTAAAAACCATCAATATTAATATATATTTTTAAAAATTATTTTATAATCTTAATTTTAAAAGTATTATTAACTAAATATATTAAACAATTTTTTTGTTAAACTTTAATTTTAACCAAAACATCTATAAATATCAAATTAATCTCAACTAAAAATACTAATTATAAAATAATTTCTTTTAAATTATAACAATTACTGTAATACCAAACATACCTGTTATCCCCCGTTTGGCATTGTGTTTTAAATGGGGCGTGATGGAATTTGAGGCTGCATGTTCTTTACTCAAATAATATATCTACATTCGATTAGTTTCACTAATAAAAGTATTTTTTTAATACTTGATTTTCAACTCCAACGTGGGTGTGGTAGGTGTCTTTAAATATGTGTAGTTGCAAAAGGTATATAATATTTGGATACCACATGTGTGAACATTAATTATATTTATATAAAATTTATTGGCTAAAATAAATAAAAATGTAATAGATTTAAACCTTCAGAAAAGCTAGGAATATGCTAATCGATATTAGCATGCATCTTTCTTTGTGTGGTTTCCTTGGGGAGACCGTGTTTCTTAGGCTTCTTCCCTTGATGGTTTCGGTATAAGCAATGGAGATTTTCTTAAAAATAATTTAATCATGACTTCATGATCCGAATTAATTAATTCGAACCTTTTTTTATTAATTTTTTTATTGATTTTTTTTTATTTTTTTTTATTTATTTTAGTTTATATTCTATAAAGTTATCATATTTTTATAAGTTGGTTTACAAATTTAGTTGATTAACTCGGGTGATTTTTTATATTTTTTTTAATTTTATTCTTTAATATTAAATTAATTATGAATTGAGTTTTATAATTTATTAATTTTAATTTAGTTCTTATAAAGTTATCTCAGTTTAATAATATAGATTTGATAAATTAATCTCCTTGACTTGATTTATTTTTATAATTAAATTTTATTTTTTAATATTAAATTTGATAAAAATAAAATTTAATAAAAATAAAATATTTGCTTGTTAGCTGGTGGGGAATGATATATTGGTACTTCCAAATATATCTAGCTTTATACCTTGCGTGTCTCAGCCTAGCTCAGTCAAAGAGCTAGCTACCATGTGGCTTTGGTATATTAAACAATTATATATATATATAATGAAATAACTACGTTCATACTTTGTGATGAATAATTGAATAAGAATCGCTTTACTTGCACTTCAATTTCTTACACAGAATGCATGGTTTTCTGTCTTTGTGATCCATTAGCTTGTCTTTAGGTATATATGAAATCAATCTTCATTAATTCATCTGGCAGAGAGAAGAACAGATGCTGTGTTGAATGAGTGCTATCTAGCAAGCACTTCCACAGATCGATATACTGCTAATTAATTGTTTCACGGTGAGTAAAGTTTCATTCTGAATAGAAGACTACCCCGCTGCATGTGTGTGTGTGTGTATCACGACGTACGTAGCATAATAAACGATTTTAGTTGTATATATATATATATATATAAATGAGTCGTGATTATTATCTTACGTTTTAGGAGCAATATAATTAGTCATGAAACTGCATGATACAAATTTTCAGTTGCTGACCTGATTGTTTCATGTGGAGATTGATGACTATAAAAATGCCACACTTTCCTGGGCAACTCAAGAAACTTTGGAGCAGATGGGAGATTGTAGGGATGGTTTTATTTAGTCTTTTTCTGCAAATCCTTCTCATCATGTTTGGTTCTCGGAGGAAGCGCATTACAAGAATCTGGATCAGAATTCTTGTTTGGTCTTCTTACTTGCTGGCAGACATGGTAGCCACTGTTGCTTTGGGTGTTCTTTCCAGGAGCCAGCTTGGAGAAATGGGTGACATTCAGTTTGCAAAAGAAAACAGTTCACTTCGTGCGTTTTGGGCACCTTTCCTTCTCGTGCACCTTGGTGGCCCAGATACAATCACAGCTTTCTCCATCGAAGACAATGAGCTGTGGTTGAGGCATTTGCTTAACCTTCTAGTTCAAGGTTCTGTGGCTTTTTATGTTGTCTTAAAGTCTTGGGATTTCAGTGTCCTCTCATTTTTAACTATTTTTATGCTATTTGCCGGAATTGCCAAGTATGGGGAGAGGACTTGGGCGCTCAGATCTTCAAGTACCGAGCACATCAGAAACTCTTTGCTCTCAACCCCGCCTCGCCTGCGATTAGATACGAAGAGTATAATGGTTGTTCCGCGAGGACACCATATTCCTCAGGCCAACTATCTTCATCAAGCTTATTATCTTTTCAAGATGTCCTTATATCTCTTTGAAAATCTTATCCTCAGCCTTACCGAACTGAAGGACAGCCACTCTATCATTTCTTGCCAATCATCAAAGGATGCATTCAAGTTGGTAGACTTGGAGCTCGGATTCATCTTTGAAAGACTTTATACTAAGGCTCCCGTAGTTTATTCCCGAAAAGGAGTTTTTCTTCGCTCCCTTACCTTCTCCTCCTCTTTCATTACACTAGTTTCCTTCTCATTCTTCGTTGACAAGCATCGCTGCTCACCCATCAATGTTGCTACAACTTATATGTTACTAGCTGGAGCTCTTGGCTTGGAGGTTTATGCAATGTTACAACTCGTTTTCTCTGATTGGACAATGATTTGGTTAACTAGGTTTACAAGCACACCAAGTAATCCCATTGGTAATGCCATTTACTCCCTTCGTGCATATTTCGCCAATGAAAAGAGGTGGTCAGGGTCCATGGCACAGTGCAACCTGATAAGTTCTAGCTTTGCAATCAAAACAATCAAGAGTTTGAGCAAGTTTATCGGAATCGATCAAGAAACATTGAAGCACTTGCACGTAAGTTGGGAGCATATAAATGACAATTTGAAAGATCTGATCTTCGAAAATCTTCTTGAGAAGGGGAATGAGATTATAGAGCATCTCCAAGATAAGGAGAACCGACGTACTAGACTACTAGCTCAAAGGGGGGATGGTGTGCTTGAGAAGATGAAAAGGCTAGAAGAATTCCGCTGGTGCACAACGTCCGTGGAATTTAACCAAAGCCTCTTTATTTGGCACATTGCTACTGATCTTTGCTATTATGTTGATCAGAAGTTCCATTCGAAACAAAGTATGTCTAAATTACTATCTGATTACATGTTCTATCTTCTGGTCGTGAAACCGAATATGCTTCCCAAGGGAATTAGTGATTCAGGGTCTAGATATCGAGATGCGAGTGACGAGATGGAGAGATTTTTCCAAGCAAGAAAGAAAGGGCCATCAAATGGTACTGCAAGGGAAGCTCGCATCACATTATTCCAAGCGAAGCAAGAGGAGTTGGAAGATGCCATAGCAATTCCTATTGATACGACGCCAACAATTCCTGGAGAATATGGAAGTAGCAAGTACCTGCTCGTCCACGGGTGTAAGCTAGCTCAACAATTGCAAAAGTTGGAAGCAGAGAAGTGGAAGTTGATAAGTGAGGTTTGGGTTGAAATGCTCACTTACGCTGCAGGTCATTGCGAATGGAGAGACCATGCCCAGCAACTTAAAAGTGGTGGAGAACTACTCACTCATGTCCGACTTCTTATGGCACACCTAGGTTTAAGCCAACAATATCAGGAAATTCTTCTTAGTTGACTGCATTCGATACTTTTTCAACAAATTAGTCCAGTAATTAACAAGTTGAAATGTTGAGATGATTTCTTTTAAAAAGATTAGGTGATTTCTTATAAAAAGATTGGATGATCTTTTTCGAATTATTTTTTATTCATTTGCAAGCTGTGAAACATTCTGTATTACGTAATTTCAACTCCTAACTACAACTATACAGTCAAGATTATGCATGCGCGTGCTGATTCTACCAGCAATGGGCTCGTTGGTACTCTTGCCAGGCAAAAGGAGAGAACCCTTGTCGGAGAATCCATCATCCATATCGTATTTTCCTCTAACCAGCTGCTCTTTTTTACCCTGTAATGAAACACATGGTATGTGAAAATGACAATAATATTAGATTCAAGCAAATGTATCATGATTTTTCCCAATCAGCAGCAACAATTATGAGGAGAAATTACCATGAGCATATACATATTCTCTCAATTCCACCTGCGGTATGGTGATGGGAAAACCGACTTGCTTTCTCTTTCAAAAATGAACCATTACAAGTTGCAGACCTCCAATAAGTGATGATTAATGCTGTCGGTATTAATGGAGTGAAAAAAAAAAAAAAATCAGCCCTCCTACTGCTTCCACTTTTGGGTTATTTCAGTATACAAATTGATTGCAAAGAAGAAACCAACCATCAGATATACTAAGAGAGAATGCCTGTGCTAGAAATTAGGGCTCACGGTATGAACACAACTTTGCTTCCAAGAAAATGACTTGTCATTGCATTACATCTGTTACTTCAGAAAACGCTCAATGTTCTCTCAGGTGAAAACCAATAAGCCATTTAATCTACTTGGAGTCGGAACGGATTCCCCTAACCCTATTTGCATGCGTGCAAACAAGATGCAATCTCGAGAGTATTGAGTAGTTTTCAAAGTCATCCACCAGCAAGCATTAATCTAATAATATGCTAAGACACGAGATCACCAAATCCTGAACGTAAGAAAATCCTTTTACATGAAAGCAGGCAGAGGAACGAATTTCACAAAAATCCTACACCGTCTCATTAGTGCCCCAACCCCCAAAGAAAAGAAAAGAACACAAAACCGCGAGACGCACGTGGGGCCCAAAATCCAATGGTGTAGAATTTTTGCGAAATCCATTCTTGTACTTTGCTTTAATGTCAACTTACAGCATTGAATAAGCAAAATAAACACATTGTAGGCAACTGGAACCTCCATTTGCACTCTTTAAGCCGCTAGATGAACTTGAACTAAGACGAGCTATTCACCACCAAATCAAAAGATTACACAATAATGATAACTATAATAAATTAGATGGTCCGCTGATGCAATCTCCACGGCCATTTTGGGGATTACCCCATATAATTACAGATCTGCTGGACTCCAGTCCAACTACAGCTTTGCTGCTACCAATCCGAACTGTGGAAGAAAGTGCTTGAAAGTTTTAGTAATGTAGGAACAGAGATACTAAAATGCTTGCAGTGATAGCAAATACCATTTAATCACCCTTAAACCATGAGAAGTTAGTACATATTGAATAAGTGCAGCAATAGTAATGCACCTTGCAATAAATGAAACTCCTCTCTCTCATGCAAAATTCTGTCAGTGAAAACATGCAGCTATTCTTATATGCAAATCCAACATGATTTTAGGTATTGTACTAAATCAGAAAAATCTAAAAACGCATATCCTTCCATGCATTAAATGATGAGTGATGAATTTATGCACTACTTTTCTTTCTAGATCTATGTTAGTTGTTTGTCATCAATGCAAAGAGACCAGGGACTACATTCTTGGCAAGCAGTTTTACCGGCATTGAAAGGACATGCAGAGCAATCTCTAATTTGTGCAGACTGTAAATTTCACACACACAATTGAAAGATGAAATAAATTCTCACCAGCAAAGTCTAGGCAGTTAATCAAACTGCATTGAGTCCATATCAGAGACAAAAACCTAAATCAATTAAAACCGTGTAATCTGCTGCACCATTGGAGAACCAGTTGACTGTGAAACCAACTGCTCTGAACTTGGTGAAGGTCTTAGCAGGTGATTAGTAACAGCTGGGTTGCCATGCCCTTGTCTTATCATCTCTTTAGGACTGATATTATTTTCTTCAGACTGAGAGGACTCCATCAATGCACGAATCTGAACTCAACATTACAAGTGAAAGAAAAAGCTTTAGAACCCCACAAGAGGAGGGGGGGATGTAAGAAAAAAACATATATGGAGAGTGTAGTTACCATATCAAGACGCTTCTTGTGGAGATCACTAGGCAACTGCATATTTTAAACCCAATGTCAACATGTATTTTGCATGAAATATTAATGCATTTTTGCAGTGGTTCAAGAACGACCAACATGATCCCTGTAGATGTGTGTGTGTGTGTATGTGTGTGTTAGTAGGAAATGACATGACTGGTTACAGGATTATAATGGTTTATAATCAAAGCAAATGAAGTTCTAGAATAATAATTGATAAGCTTCATAATTTGCATGATAAAAAATATATATTATTATGATAATTTGCCTTAAAAAATATCAAAAGTTCATAAAAAGAACTGTAAATACAAAACTTTGGACTTCCATCAGATGCATCCAACGTACATTGTACTTCATCTTAATGAAGTTATTTGACATTGATAATGAGGGGAAAAAATACTATAATTAACAGATATTCCAAATGCTTACAGGTTTACTTTGGTGCTTCCTCTCTTCCGATGAAAATCCAGGAATTGTCAATTGCCAGTTTTTCTCTGCACAGAGTTTTCAAGTATCAAACTCATAAAAAAACTCCTTATGCTTCACTTCAAAATAAGAAAGCAAAAGCAAATTTATCAATATCATTGTTAACTAACATGCAGTGCAAGCTATTAATAGATCTCTTTTTTTTTTTTTTTAGTGGGGGGAGAGGGTAGTTTTTTTTTTTTTTTTTTTTAGTGGGGGGAGGGGGGTGTTTGGGTCCCCTGAGCCAAGCCATATTATTCAAACTATGCAGTAAAAAAGGAAATATGAATTCAAATTCCTACCCTGTATAATAAATCACCCGAAGGGCCACGGTGATTTTGACTACTTCTAGTTTTCAAATTCAAGTAATGCTGTTCAAACTTGGTTTTGAGAAAATAAATAAATATTTCATCAATGGACTCATTAACCTTTATATATATGATCCATATACAAACCAAAATTAATCAGATTTTTTCACGACAAGGAATTTTTAAAAGACAGTTTTAACTATAACATTCTTGACAGAAACCTAAAGTTCAGCCAGCTGAACAAAAGTTATTCAGTACATATCTAAGCAAAAATTATTCCTTTCTCTATTTTCATATTAACTAATCATGACATCACGGGTGTAGATAAGAAACCAAAAGAAAGCATATATGATAACAATGAAGTCAAATGGATTACATGAAACCAAAACCAATGGTAAGCCTTACAGCAACTCGAGTTCACTCATTGCTCACCATGCACGTTCCACAACCACTTGCGCAGCTCCTACTTTTTTTCATCAGATACTCTACCCTCATTCTCTTTCTAATCAATAAGAGCATTCTATAAAACCAAAGACTAAATCTGTGCACCACATATCAATGTTCCAACATATGACATAAAATTGCTAATGCAAATACTATATGTTGAAGCACAAACCTAAGTGCAGCAATATATCTTTGGACTCTAAAGTTGAAGATTTCCGATGCTTAGCCAAACTGCAAGCAAATGCGGTCACCTGCATTTTGATACCAGAAATAAGTTTCTCTAACAAACATGTGAAAGTAAAGGATTTAATTCATCCTCCACGAATGTTAGTGCATAATATTTGGTAGACAAGTTAAACAGTAATAACATGATCATGTATGCAATAACTACTCATAAAAATACCATGAATTATAGGCTAACATTTCTCAGGATAGAGCAGATCCGACCAAAAACTCCAAGCAATATTTAATTGCTTATCCTACATGATTTATAATTTATCCAAGTTTATTTTTTTTTACCTGAATGAACCAGTTCTATCGCTAATCCATGAACAAAAGAAGACTTCTTCCACTAATTTAGGGAGTGTATAGGACCACTAGAACCAAAAGGAGTAAAAACAATCCAGCATATTGCATTTCAGAAAACTACAAAGTAGGATTTGAGTAGTCTACTTATTGAAATGAATGCATGTACCATTGACCACTGTTTTCACGCTTTGCCACAAGACCTGAGTAGTTGACCATATCAAAATTCATCCTAAATGAGGGGGCTATCCACAAGAACAGTTGAGCAATGCAATAAAGAAGGTTAAACAGCACAAGAATTACTACAGAAGTTTTTCATGCAAGAAAATTAAGGAAATTGCTCATACATTAATGAAGGTTCTCATAGAAGGTGACATTTGATGACATCAAGAACAAGCTTTTATGTTTGATACTGCTATTCAAACTATCAGGTTGTACATCAAATAAAGCTTCTTAAGGGGCCTTTGAAACACTAGGAGAAGGTTTCTTCTCTGATCATATATTCTCTCACTAAGGTTAATTTGGAGATAGCATACCCTTTAGCTTTTTTTGTAATAAGTAGCTCTTCTCAACTTTTAACATGCAACCTCTTTGTTGCAAGGCATAAAATTTTACCATTGCACTAGTCAATGGCCCTTAATATCTAACTACAAGTCTTTGAAAATTCTTTGTTGATTGGGATGAAGTTAAGGAAAAGAAAACCAGAAGGAAAGGTCTTCTGAAACCTAAAATGGTTAAACTTCAACAGTCTATAACAGGAATATATTTCTAAGTAAATCTACAACCAAGCAATACTTTTACAAAGCAAGATTCAGTGATTTGCAACAATTTAAAACCAAGCAAAATATCTGGAGGAAAACTTCCTGTTTTTCACTCACATTGTGCTATGATTCCAACATGCATTGAAGCCTTAATGAACAGTAAAATCCCCACACTCAATCATGAACTCATCAGTAATATTCATGTAAATGCAGAGTAAAAATATTGTGAAGTGTCTAAACTTAAAATCTAAATGCAGTAAAACTTTGAAAAAATAGCACAGAAAACTACGCAACCATGCCATGTCGTGTGTGTGTGTGTGTGTGTGTGAGTGAGCGAGTGAGAGAGAGAGAGAGAGAGAATCTTTATATCTGAAGGAATTCACATACAGCCACACACACACATGGAGAAAAAGTTGTGAATGTTAGCAAGCCTCACTGAATCAATAAAGTCATCGGCAATTTCCAGAAAAAGTTCTTCAACTTCAGGATCTAGCTTTCCATGTGAATCCACCTGAGTACCCGAAAGATGAAAAACATGGCACATTTATCATGAAGAATTGGAAGGCAAGAAAAAACATGGCATAAAGCTAACAGAATAGGAATAGAGAAGAAATGCTGAAAAGACCTGTGAAACCAAGTCCTGTATCTTTCTCTTCCCGAGAAGTTGATTGGTTGCTTCAGTTCCTTGGCTTGAACTCCCCCCTGGTGTAGTTGTTCCAGATGCCGTTGCATCTGGCTGAGATCCTGTCAAACTAAGAGTTTTCTGGCCTGGGGGTCCTGGCATCCTTGGAGATTGTTGTTGATGTTGCTGCTGCTGATGCAAAGACACTTGTTGCAACTGTTGCTGTGATTGTTGCTGTTGCTGTTGCTGTAGTAGCTGCTGTTGCTGCTGCTGCTGCTGCTGTAGTTGTTGGTGTCCGATTTGGGGCTGCTGCTGTACCAGCTGGGATAACTGTTGTGAGTTCAGTGCCATTGAATTCTGGTGCAGTTGACCAGATGAAGCCAATTGCTGATGCAAGAGAGCCTGTGACTGCCTCTGTTGAAGACGAAGTGAAGGTGAGGCAGGACCAGACATAGTTGGCATTTGCTTCAACCACTGTTGCTGTGACAGAGAGCTCTGCATCATAGCTGGCTGTGCATTCTGAACCAGCCCTGACAACTGATGGTTCATATATGCCAGTGATGGTGTTCTTTGTAGGCTTTGAACCTGCAGTTTCAGAGAGATGATCATGCACACAAATCAAAAGTAAAGCTCATGATTGCAAAAGTTACACGTTACAACAACAAAACTAAAAGGAGAATGATCAGTAAACATTTTCCTGTTCTTACAGAAGGAAGGATCAAATACTCGACCATAGAAAAGAGGATTACTTGATTCTTGGAAAGCCCAATCGCTAAAGTGAATAGTATTATGCTGTTGTATTCACTCGGTGCTTTAATGAAAGAAAAAACAAGTAACCAATTCATCAAAAGAAGTACGTGTATATCCCATACAACATGTAAGGGCATGGATCAAATAACATGAGAATACACATTACTTCTCACATTCAAATCCATTTATGCTTATTAAGTATAATTACAGAACCATGCATCATGAAAAACACTAAAACAAATTGCAGAAGCATAAGAGAGCCAAGGTTGAAAAACCATCCTTTACAAGAAAACAACTGCCTTATACAGTATGACTCTTCAAAGAAATAGGACTTGCTAGCAAAAATTATACAAGTAAAAAATGATTAGAACATCATTTTGAAATTACAAAAATTTGAACCGAGCTTTACAGAAACTGGAGTCATCAAATCCAGTTACTGGAAAGAAAAGAAGGTGATGTGATCAGAGAAAACTCAAACCTGAGAGGTGAGCGAGTTTTGTTGCACCAATTGCTGCCTCATTGACCCTGCACTCATTCGCTGTTGAGCATATGCAAGTGTCCCATTAGGTCTTAGTTGTGACAAATTTAGCGATCCCATCACTCCCATTGCTTGTATCCCCTGCAAGGACTGCCCCGGAGAATCACCAGAATGGAATTGGGACCCTTGGGCTAACCCAGCTTTCTGCCTCGGCTACATCCAAAAGTGCAATTGTTATAGAAAAAATCGTTATTCTGATCATTTATATTATTTTGCTGGCTCAAACACAAATGTATTAAATAATCAGCTTGAGACGGAGCAACAGATTCTATTGATCCAATCAACTACTCGATCATGCAATGATTAAAAAGAAGCACACTGTTTTCTAAGCTTATCATCTGCTGAATTCAATTCGTTGAGCTCAGAAATAATATGTAATTGGATATCCTTTTAAAATTTAAGTATTTAAACAGTAATATACTATCAATTGATCATCACGTAGAAATGATTTTCATATACCACTGACATCCAGCAAAAATTTTCAAGTAATTTGTCACCTGTAAGTACTAAGCACTACAATAAGTAGATTTCATATCCCAAATAGCAATAAACAATAATTTGATCGATTCTAATATAATTTTTCAACTTGAAAAAAAGAAAAAAAGAAAAAAAAACCTAGCCTTTACCTAGCCAAACAACTGCGCCACAAATTCAATGAATACTATCGTTACTGCATCTTGTTGAGTGCCCTATAATTGGTAACTCTGAAACACCCTCATCAAAACTAATTTGACTCATGAACTGCCTAAAAAAACTCCTAAAACAAAACAATCTCAATTACTGCCTTTGAAAACCAAATCAGATCACTAACATAATCCATCGAAATTTTCTGACAAACTCACACCAATACATAAAACATCATCATCATCATCAACAAAAACAACAAACATCCAGAATTCTTACCAACGCTAATAACTGTATCGAGAGCACAAATTACTAACAATTATGTTCAACAAACGCATTAACCAAAAACAGCGACTTCGTAAGCAAAACACTATAAAAGTGGTAACTTTAAACCAATCAAACACATACTGAAGCCAACAATTGTGAGGGCAAGTTCAACTGAGAGGCGGCGGCGGCGGCAGCTGCGCCGGTGAACATAGGAAGGTGGCCAGTCTGGCCGAGAAGTGCTGAGCGAGACAAATTGGAACCACTCAATTGTTGATTCTGCTGCGAATTCTGTTGAATTGAAGCAGACCCACCAAAATTCATTTGCCCGTATAAGCCCTGTTGCTGCTGCCTCAAAACGCCACCGTATTGGTTCTGTTGTTGTTGGATAATTTGGGTCAAGCGTGACATGGAAGGAGATCTTTGAAGGGTTTGTTGGATTTGATAGCCTGACATTGCGGTGACATTCTGCTGCTGCGGTTGCTGTTGCTGTTGCTGTTGTGGAGGTTGGAGAGAAGGCGAAGAGGAGATTTGGGAGTGGTCCAGTGAAGGAGAGGAAGAGATATGCGTGTTTTGAGGTAAATTGGATAGGTTTTGTGTCTGTGTCTGTGTTAAGTTTGTCGTGTTAGTGTTCGTCAAGGTTGCTGCTTGTTGTGATTGTGGTTGTGACGATGGGTCTATAATTGTATTCGGAGAAGGCAGAGGTTTAGGCGAAGAGGCTGCGGCAGCAGCTGCATTTTCTGCCATGGATTGGATTGGGTTGGAACCGAAGACTTATGGGTTTTCTTAATTTTACTTAAAAATTCATTCTTTCGATGAATTGAGTGACTGTAGCCTGGGTTCTTGCAGAGTTAAAGAGGGAGAGGGGAAGACAGAGGAGGACGACTCAGTGTAGCCTGATAAGCAGAGGGAATGATGCATGTGGGTGATCTCGGCCATACACGTAGCTGTCGAATTTGAGGCTGGAGGGATATGGACTGTAGTCCGTACACGTGTGGAGATGGTCAAAGCATGCGCCTTGATTAGATTGAAGAGTGACTTTAACTAATGAAAAGTCAATCATAAAATAAGAAGCAAATAATCAAAGGGCGTCCTCTAGTAGTTAGCGCTAATCTAATTTCACTTACAAGTTCTCCCTCTAATATACTTCAACAAAAAATAAATAAATAAAGATGGTTGATTTTTTCTGGGTCAATGGAGATCAATTTGTAAAGTAACAACTCTCTCTCAGGTTAATTTTTAAAGTATTTTTTTTCTGGGTCAATGGAGATCAATTTGTGAAGTAACAACTCTCTCAGGTTAATTTTTAAAGTATTTTAAAAAAATTAAAATAATATTTTTATTTTATTTTAAAATTTTAAAAAAACTCTGGTGGTTGAACCGTGCCAAACCCATATTGGTTCTTGTTCTTCTTTGTGCAAAGCTTTTGAACGTATCTTTCAGCTCTTATAACTGTTTCACTCCCAATTATAATAGGACTTTTAATTACACTATGCATGGCCTTGACCTTGAGAATCATTAGCCATGCAACCCTTCTTCGTTGCATTATAATTACAATTATAAAATATACTAAAATAATTTTTATAGCAATTTAATAAATTTTATCCTTAGACATTTTTTTTTTAATTGCAGCCATCTATGAATAAATTAATAATTAAATTTTCAAAATGTTTTAAGAAAGAAAAACTCCATAAAAAAAGATCAAAATGTAAAACAAAAGGAAATATCATGGCCAATCTTAAATTTAAATGAAAAAATACTTTTAAGTTCACCTTGTTTTCTTTTTTTATTTTCCAATCCCTATAGTTTTTGAAATTTTAATTTTGTTATGATAGTTTATATTTTTATTTTTCAGTCCATAGATATAAATGTGGAAAGATAAAGTCGTTGATTTACCACTTCTCAACCATCAAAAAAAATTAATTTTAGTATTAATTAGTTTTTTTTTACGATAAAGTCTTATAGAGATGTATTTAAACATTTATCTTGCTTGAAAAGGTAGCTAAGGTCAAAAGAGAAAAAAATTTACTAATTTAATTGTGTTTTTAAACTGTTTTTAGGTTTTTTTATAAATTGATTTTTTAATGTTATAAAAATATTTATTAGTTGTTTTTTAAATTAAAATTGGCTAAAAATAGATTTTTAGACCAAAAAATAACCACCTAAGTTTTTTAACCATTATTATATAGTCAGATTCTAGGTAAGCTGATAATACATATGCTTTTATTTCTTTTAAAAATATAAAAATATAAAAACTAGTGGCATATTATCCACCCTTTAATGAATAAAAAAAATCAATCACGTGTGTTAGGTGCACTAGGCCACCAAGGTCTAATGTTTATCTTTTTTAATTTTGATTTTTTATTTTTTTATGTAATTATAAATTAGTTAAAATAAGTTGATTAAGTGTATGTATGGGATGCCTAATCTATTGGGTATTCGATTGTAATCAAGATTATTTCAAATAAATTAATTAAACAAATTTTTATGATGTTTTTAATAGAATATTATTTAATTTTTACTTAGTTTGTGGATAAGATTACATCATTTTTTTAAAAAAACTTTCATTTTATTCTATCTTTTTTTTATGGGTCTTTTTTTTATATTATCGTTTTAGTAAATAAAAAGTTGATTTCAAGAAACAAAATTATTAAATACATAAGAGTTAATTGTCCATGTTTAGAAACCAAATATCTAAATTCACATCTATCTCTCAACTTTCTAATTATGTCTATTTTTAATATTATTTAATTAAATATAAAATTGATTATAAGAAACAAAATTATTAAACACAATTTGATTCATAACCCATGTTACAAGATCACATGTCCTAATTTACATTTATCTCACTTTTTTTTGTTTAGTATTTGGTTATTGTTAATGGTTCTTTTCCTCTCTTTTTTTGAATTTATTGATACAAATAATTTTTAATTTACTTAATTAAATGCATACATATATCACATCTCATCTCCTATGCAAAAAGTTATCAACTTACACTTAGCCTTTTTCGTAGGCTTTTTCTTTCATCCCTCTTGATGCAAGTTTTTAATTTTTTTATTGAGCTTTATAATCTTGCACCTCTATTTTTATATTTTTTATGTCACTTTTCGTTTATTCTCTTATTTACATATTTATTTTAATTTCCTAAATGTTTAACTATATTGAAAGAGCTCCACTGCCATGTTAGAAATAATTAGGGAATAAGTAGATATGATCTAGCTAAAAGTAGCCATGTTTAGACAAAGATAATAATTAAAGAAAAGCAAATTGAAGAAAATTATAGCAAAAATGTAACAATTAAAAAAATAAAAAAAGATGTTGAAAATTATCATAAATAAAAGAATTATAGAAGATGCAATTACTTAGTTATGATGAGAGAAGTGGCCAGGACAAATGCAAGAAAGATCTTTTAAAGATGAAGATTCAAGATTCAAGAAATATTGGTAGCATTGTAGTTATCTAATTAGACTAATGGAGGAAAACAAATATTACAGTGGTATAAATATAACACTTTAAAGATGAAAAGAAAAAAAAGGAAGCAACAATAATTTATAAAGCATGAAACAAAGATAGTAGTTGATGAAATGTGTGAAAGCTAAAGGAAATAATAGCAAGACAATATTTTAAAGTGCAACAGAGGCAGCCAAAACCTGGAACAAGTATCATCAAAATTCAAGTTTTAAGATGTATAAGACTTCATTCCCTGGCATCTCCCTCGTTATTTTTAATATGATATTAGAGTTAATTCAATCTAGTGGGCATTTTAAGAAATTAAAGCATAAATGTAAATAAAAGGTAAAAATCTTAAGAGAAAGCGGATGGATAAGTTACATCTAAATAAAAAAAATTAGGAAATTAAATGTGAAAAATGATAATGCATAATAAAAAAATTGAGATCATACATCAAGAGAGGTAGAACAAGCCAAAAAAAGAGGTTAAGTGCAAGCTAACAAATCATTACACAAGAGATAGTGTGATACAAAAAAAATAACACATGGAAAAAAAAAAAGAAACTTTTTCTAAAAGAGATGGAAAATAGCTAAGAAGTCATAACAACCTAATGAAGAGTAAGCCAAAATAAAATGGCCACTTGAATAGTTAAATATCATAAGAAAGATTTTTTTTCTAGAGAAAAATGACAATAAGCTAATGAAGAATAAGCCAAAATAAAATGGCCACTTAAAAATTCAAATATCAAAAGAAAGATTTTTTGCCAAAATAAAATGGCCACTTAAAAATTCAAATATCAAAAGAAAGATTTTTTGCCAAAATAAAATGACCACTTGAAAATTCAAATATTATAAAAAAGATTTTTTGCTAAAAAAAAATGACATCCACCATAAAAAGAGAAAAATAGGCTCATGTAAACCATGTTTAAGCAAATGTTATTTATTAAGGAAGGAAGATTGAAGAGATGACAATAAGATACTATTAGCAAGTTATGACGAGATGATTCCATGTTTTAAAAGTGATGAGACTTTTAAAATTAAAGAATAGTGTTGAAATTAATTTTCAAGATTTCATTCAAAGTGTTATTTTAGTTCTGCTAAATGTCTTCTAAGTATATGTATAACTATTAAAGATAAGTTTATTTTTTTAAGTCTATTGAATTATTATAGACTAATTGATTAGTACTTAAAAATGCATTTTTATTAAGGTTTTATGTCATCATTTTTGCACTTGAAGTATTAATAACTCCTTAACTAAAGCATGTTTTATAATAATATAAAATACATTTAATTTATGGTAAATGTACATTTTAAATACAGGCCTATCACATAAATGAAAGGATTGATTGATGAATTTAAAAACTAAAATTGAAAGGACAAAGAGATAACCAAACTTAAAAAAGAGATGCTAGAGCAGTCTAAACCGGAACACTGTTCGGTAATTGGGTCATATCTGGAGTTGTAG